ATGGCATTGAGAATGTTAATGAGCGAGGCATCGCGGAGGATGTCCAGCCACCAAACATTCACTATCGGCAGCTTCTCGACACCCTTCATCGTCGACAACGGGACAACAGTAACATCACTGATCGCAGACAACCTCACATCGATGTTCAGCGACGATATGCCGCCGGAGGACAGTTTACAAAACCTTTCGGTAACCTGTCTCTTTAACACTTCACTCAACACGTCCACATGCGAAAATGGCCCCTCCAACACCTCGAACGTCGACTCGTATGATCTCCCTCACGCCTTATGGCTAACAATCATCTTAGGATTTCTAGCCAGTGTTATTAGCGTCGTTACGGTTGTAGGCAACATAACGGTACTACTGGCTTTTGGATTGGAACGAACTATACGACAGCCCACCAATTATTTTCTCGCCTCGCTGGCTGTGTCAGATCTGCTCATTGGTACGTTTTCAATGCCGCTCTACACTCAGTATTTGCTTTGGGGCTCCTGGGCTTTAGGGCCTTGGTTGTGTGACCTCTGGTTGTCTTTAGACTGGACTGTCTGTCTGACATCCCAGTATACCGTGTTTCTTATTACTATGGATCGCTTTCTCAGCGTGAAAATCCCAGCGAAGTATCGTAACTGGCGAACAGAAAAGAAGGTACTTGTTATGATATCCATTACTTGGATTCTTCCTGCAATGGTGTTCTTTACATCAATCATCGGTTGGCAGTATTTTGTAGGTAAGAGAACGGTGAAGCCTGAAAATTGTGAAGTTCAGTTCATGGAAGATACAATGTTTACTTTTCTTCTGACTATTGGATATTACTGGATAACCCTAGTTGTCATGTGTATCCTTTACGGTGGAATCTACAAAGTGGCTTTAGATCTGCAAAGGAAGTCGGACGCTAAGCATAAAAAGATGCAGTCGACCATGGAACTTGCAGGAGAGAATCCCAGTCCCGCAATGCGAAGCATCGGTGGCGATGGTGAAAAATGTAGTATCAACAGTAGCGGCTGTGTGGATAGCGTGAATCCCCCACAAGCCCAGAATAACAACAAGAACAGCAAGTTAAACAACAGAAAGAGCGTTAAGACCTCGCTGCCATGTCCACCAGGGATACAGAACATCAACACTACAAGTTTTAGTACAGGCAAGGATGTTGATAAGGATGATGAAAGGTCAAGCAGTCCCGCTTTTGGTTCTGATGATGAAAACAGCAGCAGCGGAGGAGCAGCTGGTTCCAGTAAAGGACCATTGAACTCCAGCCTCTACTCTAGTAAAGTCGGTCAAGCAGGAGGTATCATTAACAGCGTTCTTTTCTCAAACACTGGGGGTCTAGTTCGATCTCTCCACGGAGAACTGTTCTTGTCAACCTCTACGGAAAGTCAAAACCTTCTACAGCCGCCGCCACCTTACAGTAAGCACGACACCAGATTAACCAATGAAACTGGATCCGATGTGGAAGGTAGAGATCATCAAGAATTCGATAGTCTGTATTCTTCCTCGGCATCTGACAGGTTGGAAAAACAGACAGTACCCCTTTTACAAAACGAAATCAACAAAGGATGCCGGTTCATTGATGAGAAGAGTTTGCTGGCTACACTGAGTTCAGAAAATGCTGCCCTCCTTCCTGTGATAACGGGTGATTCAGAATTTGAGGATTCCGATGTAGCCGATCTTCATACCTCTTCTCCGATATGGAAACGTCGCACTTCGCTACCTCCTCTTGCCTCAGATGTGTTTGATATAGACGATGAAGTCAGCGACTATCTCATCGCGGCCGATCTTACCACCACAACTGACATGCCCACGTCTTCTCCCACACTGTTGTCAAGCTGTAACAGGTGCGGCTTGGAAGATCAACGCCCGCGAGCAGACACTGTCAATACACTGACTTCTTCCATTACGGCGGCCGATACTGGCACGGACGACAGTAGTGGCAACAAATCCAGTCAGTCAAATGTCACGGGAAATGCTGCTAGCTACCCTAGTGGCAGCATCTGTATCCACTCACCCCCGTCAGAAACAAACACAAACGAAGACAGTTCTCGATGCGAAAGCCATTGTCTGGCCTCTATACGTCGGCGTAGAAACAAAGATACACGACTCCATTCCTTTGTGAAATCAGTTCGTTCTAGAAACAGCAGACGAAGGAATCGACGAGAGCGGAAATCGAAATCTGAAAACAGGGCAAGAAAGGCGCTCAGAACTATATCCTTCATTCTTGGCGCTTTCGTCTTGTGTTGGACTCCATACCATATTGCCATTATGGTGTTCGCACTGTGCATGGATTGCGTCAATCTTAGCCTTTATGCATTTACTTATTGGATGTGCTACTTAAACAGCCCTATTAATCCTTTCTGTTATGCATTCGCTAACGCTCAGTTTAAAAGAACCTTTCTGCGAATTATGAGATTTGACTGGCATAGAACATAATGTTTATACAAACATAGGTGATCATAATTATAAAAATATAAACTGTACGTATCATTTATGTAAACACAGGTTTATATACTATTTTTAGAAGCGTAATTTGACGTATCTTGTCATTCCTTTGTGGGATGCAATTTTTCATTATTCGAAGCCATACTCTAGCTCTTGCCAAGGGGCCGCAATATAGCCAGGCTATATATATGGTATAATGGTTCAATGCGGTTTCTGGGACCTCTCCACGGTGATAATCATCCACATGGTGGCACTTTGTGTCATCGGGTGTTTATCGCTTGTGTGATGTCCTGGTGGGGTATAAGAAGATAGATAGATAGGTTATTTGACGTAATATTTATGTTAACATACACGAGTGGAAACGTGAATTGTTCATTATAATGATAGGGTATTACGTGTTAGTGGCTTTTCTTTCTTTCTACAAATAATGTACAGTAAAATATCAGAAGTAGGAACCTACTTAAGACGAACATTTGACTAACATGATACACAATTCTAGCTCCATCATCATCATCATCATGTTGCAAGTCCGTCCCCTCATCATTGTTTGCCCCAAAGACACTCAGTCTCTCACCTGCTTTCCTGCCTAGTGTACTTTCATACCCAGGAAAGCACATATATCATATTCTAATCATCGTGTTGGTCGGCCCCTGCTCCCACTTCATCGCACCATGCCTTCTGCTATTATTTTTTTTCCAGTCCGCAATGGCGCTTGATATGACCAAGATAGTTCAGCTTCCGAGACAAGATGCTGTTTATTAGCCAGTCTTCCTTGATGTTCAGATCTTTTAGAATGTCGGTATGCAAAACCAGTAAACAAAAGCCGACCAACTATTGAAAAGACACACAAAAGAAGCCAAGATGAGGGGAGGCTCTTCTAGCAGAAGAAGTCTGACACAGTGTGGTGAAAGCCGAGAGGTATCTTGATGGGAGATAGAGCGTGGAATTACAAAGATGGGGAGGACATAGGGAGAGATTCATGCGACACCGAAGGGTAGAACGACTTAGTGTGAGTTGTTTCTATGCTCCATCTGGGGTTAGAAAAGCAGAAGAAGAAGAAGAAGAAGAAGAAGAAGAAGAAGAAAAAGAAGAAGAAGAAGAAGAAGAAGAAGAAGAAGAAGAAGAAGAAGAAGAAGAAGAAGAAGAAGAAGAAGAAGAAGAAGAAGAAGAAGAAGAAGAAGAAGAAGAAGAAGAAGAAGAAGAAGAAGAAGAAGAAGAAGAAGAAGAAGAAGAAGAAGAAGAAGAAGAAGAAGAAGAAGAAGAAGAAGAAGAAGAAGAAGAAGAAGAAGAAGAAGAAGAAGAAGAAGAAGAAGAAGAAGAAGAAGAAGAAGAAGAAGAAGAAGAAGAAGAAGAAGAAGAAGAAGAAGAAGAAGAAGAAGAAGAAGAAGAAGAAGAAGAAGAAGAAGAAGAAGAAGAAGAAGAAGAAGAAGAAGAAGAAGAAGAAGAAGAAGAAGAAGAAGAAGAAGAAGAAGAAGAAGAAGAAGAAGAAGAAGAAGAAGAAGAAGAAGAAGAAGAAGAAGAAGAAGAAGAAGAAGAAAAAGAAGAAGAAGAAGAAGAAGAAGAAGAAGAAGAAGAAGAATTTCTTACCTTCTTTGTCCGTGGTATTCTGAGAGTTGACTGCTAGTCCAAGCAGGGATGTATTTAAAAAAAAAACACACACATCTATTACTCAGTGGTTGAAACGAATATGTTTTAACACGAACTCTTCATGTTTCTGTCCCTTGGAATTTGTAGTAGCCAGATTTTACTATACATTTTATGTTGCCACGCGTTACCACGTTCTCGAGTTCATTCATTTTTATAACATGTCTATAAAACAATTATTGTAATAGGTCTATTTTGAGCAACATATCTCATTGACCGTGTTGGCTGTTTTGCGAAAAATGTTGTGAAAGTAATCTGCAGTAGCAACAGTACCACGTCTGGCACTGGTAGCACAGTATTGGTATGAATATGCTGCCTACAATCCGTTTCTTGGTGATCATACTTGTGTTTGGTTGTCGTAATAAGAGAGTCAGTTGGTATATACAAGTAAATGCACTGGCTTGCTGGCATCATGTTTCTACTTAGAGAGATAAGTAAAGATCCCCTTTCGTGCCTCAGGTGCATCGTGCATATGAGAGGAGCACCCATATTTTGACAGACCAATCGGCAGTAGTTGGGTTATGTGGTCAGCATTACTTCGGCCGTCTTTACTTTCCCAGAACATACATCCTGGTACCTATTTTAGGCTGGGTCGACCTGCGACGCCCCATACCATGATAAAAACCCACGCAGTCAGCAGTGAGTTTCGATCACGCAACGTTGGAATTATGATTTGGACTCGCAACGCCTAAGCCACGGACACAGCGTTTCTAATTGCATAGATATTTTAATTCTTTAATTTGCTTCAGACAAAAAGCAATCTACCCTATATGTAGCGGATTAGAACAGATCTGCATTAATACAATTTTAGTCGCATTTAATTTTATTTTATATCTTATCAAGTTGAACTGGTTTCCGTAACATATGTTCTGGGCGAACACTTGCGGCAATAGAATAACATAACCCTTGACCCGGTAGGGTCGTGGGGGTGTATCGGTGGAAGCACTAGCACATAAAACAAATCTTTCAATTGTTGAATAAGTGTTTAATAATTTAGTTTGGTCCATTTCTCGAGGCTGTGATTCCGGATTTTTGTGTGTGTCCATGGCGCATTGATTAAATAGGCGGGCTTGCCCCATTTATATGGCCAAGACCTCCAGATATGTATCTGCTTGCCGGAAAAATTACCGTTGGTCTGCCCATATACACACTAGCTCACTTCTGATTGGTAGTTCCTTAACCTGTCACACTGGCACAAGGTTACAGGGGTGTTGCGCAATGCAATCGATATCGCATGTTGTATATTTCAGCACTACAGCGCTTTCAACACTCCAAAAACATGGAGCAAATGGCTCTAATACAACCTTCTAGAGAGTCCTGCAACCAGTGTCACAGGCATTTTCTTTCTGTGAATGAAAACGTAAATTTAAGACACCACAGAAAGCAAACAACTGAGTGCGACACACCTGTAACGTTCAGGAAAGTCGACCAACCCAACAAACTTGTGAATAAAAAGTGACCTACTCTATTTGGGGAGATTATCGTGAACCTAAACCTGCTTGCCTTCCGCTTGACATTTTGTCATCAATCCTGCCAGGTTTGACCACGTTCTTGAGTTCATTCCTTTCCATAATATGCCCACAAAACACGTACTGTCTGTGTCAAATTTTTTTTTTTTTTTTTAGCGTATACTGATTTCATGAGAGAAGAAGGAATGTGTAGTTTAAAGAGAGCGATAAGAGAGGAAGCAAACCAGAGAGATTTAAAATAAAAAGTAATGCACGAAAAAAGAAGAGATATGGAGAAAAGAAGAAGTATAACTGAGAGATGAGGACGAAAGAGGAAAGGAATAAACACAAATAAAAGTCCACACGACACTGTAAAAGGCTGCATGACGATGAAGAAGAAGAAGGCGGAACAAATATGAACAAAAAAGTAGAAAAAACAAAACAAATGCGAAACATGAATGTCAAAATGAAGAAAAAAGACACCGGAGGAAGATGGCAGGAAAAAAGAAAACTCGGTAACAGAAACTACACGACCAAGTATTAAGAAGCAGAAAACAGTTTCGAGAAAACAAATCAAACATAAGAAGCAGGAAGAACACGATTGCACACTTAAAAAAAAAAAAAATCAGAAAGCATGTTCATAAAAATATTTGGCCACAAATAATTTTAAGTAGTTCCTGTTGGCAGTGCTTTATGTAGCCGAGCAAAATGAACAGCTGTGATATAGAAAGCATCAGTGACAATTATTCTTAATTTGACGTCGGCTTTGATTATTTTGGACTGAAAGACTGTTTTGTATTTGTAATGATAACAATTATATGGTGAATAATTTGAATAAACATATTCTTGCTAGGAGGACGTATTGACATGGCTGCGAATATGAAGAGACGTTTTTGACATAGCTCTGAATATGAAGAGAAGATTGTCAGTAATTGTGACATAAGTGGGCTTAAAGCATATTGATTGTAGGCAAATTGGAGGCATCGTCTTTTGAAATAATTATCATTATTGCTCATCTTATCGTATCCTCATCATCATCATCATCATCATCATCATCACAATCACAATCATCGTCATCATCATGAAGCCGATTTTTTTTTTTTTCTTTTTTCTTTTTTTTTTTTTTGTTGTTGTTGTTGTTGTTGTTGAGAGTATTAAATCAAAAGTGTTGCTTTCCAGTCAGATGTGAACTTCTCCATCAGACTTATTCCTAAAGGTTTGGCATCAGGGTCTGCAATGCAGAATATAGGAATCACAAGAGTAAAGCTTGCAGGGATGCTGAAACTGTAGGGCTCTTTGAGCCACATATCCTAACGTAACTGCGTGGGGTGGTGAGTGCTCCACCCCGACACTCCCTCACGGAATATTTTCGTGAAAGCTAAAGACCCTTTCTCCAACATTGTGTTATCATTCTCTTGTTCTATGTATTTGTGAATTATTATCACACTATGTGAAGTATATCGGTACATCTTTTTGCTATCAGAACATAATAATAATAATAATAATAATAATAATAATAATAATAATAACTATTATTATATCATTATTATATCTAAATTGTTCCAATTTCAGTTACCATTAGGAACAAATCAAAAAACGCCACTACGTTCAACCTACTGCTAGCTAGCAGAAGCTGCCAACAGTCTCCGGTTATATTTGTGGTCTTGTTTATTTGCGCCACTTTCGTGGCTAAAGTTCTGATATTTGCGCCGTCTCTGGGCTTAAAGCTTCCGCATTTAAACAAGGCTTAAGACCTTGCGCGTCGCCTCCTAAGGAACTATAATGGTGTTGAGGGGGCACCCCCTTCCCATGCACACCCACACACTGTTTTCTTGTCGTCAGCGCCCCTGAAAATGTGGGCATTTGACAGAACATGGGACCCATACAAGATGTCTGATA